ACCCGGCCCGCCTCAGCCCCGGCAGCGCTCCTGCGGGAGGGCTCTGCGTCGCTGTCGGCGCGCAGCCGTCCGCTTCGGGACATTTTCTGCGCCTCGGGGTGTGAGAGGGACGCGCTCGCGAACCTAACTTTCCGGGTTGGGATCACCGGCGATGCTGGGTCAGGCCCGGCCAGAGCTCGGCCTTCGGGGTGGTGACTGTTCTGGGGGGCCCGCTGTGGCCCGGGGGCGCGGCGTCCACTTCGTGCAGCCGGGGGCTCAGGCGGGGCGCGCCCGGGGAGGGCCCGCAGCCCGGGAAGCGGAGGCTGCCTTGTCTCTGGCCGCCCGGGGCTTTCGCCAGATATTCAGAGCGTGCAGTGGTAGGTGAGGCTGAGGTCCAGGTTCCTGTTTCGGTTTCCTGTCTTTATTCGTTTTCCTCCCAAACCAACTTTTGGAAATTTGAGTGTTTTTACCTTCATATTCATATGCTTATCTTTCTAGAAGATAGCGAAAAAGAACTCATTTCGCGGTAAAAAAAATAAACACGTGAATGTCAAGTTTATCTCCTCCCGTGCCTTTTATTTACGTTAAGTGGTATTTTTCAAAAGTGATGTCCTGTAGTTTCCAGCGCACCTAAAAAGGTTTCAGAAATTACAGCAAATCTGCTTCCGATTTTACTTAATAAAATTGGATTGTTTCATTTTAACCTAGCAGATTCAGTTCCACGCAGCAAAATTTAGAGGCCAAACTATTTCAGTGAAACTTTACCTAAGATGAATGCAAATTGGTGATCTGTTTCTTATCTTTGGTGATATGAATCTGCGTAGGTGATATAAGAGAGATTGGAACATACTGCTTGTGAATTTGTTTCTTTAATGTAGTTTTCTCAAAAAGTGAATGTAATTTTAAAAAATTAGGCGTAGGGCTTCCCTGGTGGTGCAGTGGTTAAGAATCTGCCTGCCAATGCAGGGGACACGGGTTCCATCCCTGGTCCAGGAAGATCCCACATGCCGCAGAGCAGCTAAGCCCGTGTGCCACAACTACTGAGCCTGCGCCCTAGAGCCCGCGAGCCACAACTACTGAAGCCTGTGCGCCGCAACTATTGAAGCCCGCGCGCTTAGAGCCCGTGCTCTGTAGCAAGAGAAGCCACTGCAGTGAGAAGCCCACACACCTCAACGAAGAAGAGTAGCCCCCCGCTTGCTGCAACTAGAGAAAGCCTGTGCGCAGCAACAAAGACCCATTGCAGCCAAAAATACTAATAAAATAAATAAATTTATTTTAAAAAATTACGTGTAAATTTTGCATAATTTTACAAAAAGACAGGCACATTAGATGTAATTAGGTTTTATTAGCCTGTCAAAGAAGCATGAACTTAATTCAGGATGGTTAGCAGTTTTTCACAAAACATTCCATAAGTTGTAAGCTCCTATGCAGCATGAAAAAATGATCCTGGTGGTATTGAATCTTTCAACTTGTTTACAGAGAAGATAACTGTATTTACTGTTAAAGTGAACTGCACCTTGTCATGTATGAAGTTTTATGGACAGAGGTTCCCTACTTTAGTATCTGCAAAATATTGGAATGAAAATATGTTTTGGGTTTGAAAAATGGTTCAATCAAAATGATCTGATTCACTCAAAAGACTTTTTCCACATACCAGGAGCTGTGGTAGGTATTAGGGATACAAAGATAAAACAAGGAATTAAGTCTGTTGGAAGAGATAAGCATGTAAATAGGTTTTTGCATTTTTTACTCTTGAAGAATCATTATGGAGTTCTTATTTCAGATCTTTTTATTTTAACTTTTACCAATTTAAAAATTTATCAGCAAGGAACGTTAATGTTATTACAGGTTTTCTCTTGCCTGCTACTTTATGAATTTCCAAACAGACTAAATGAATAATTCATTGACATGTTTTTCTAGCATTGCCATTAAGAACTCATTTGCTGTTTAAATGCAGCTTTGGTCATTTCCCACGTAACTGAAAATTAGACATGTACTTGGGATTTCGAGAATCTTAATGCAGTTTTTAAAATTTAAGCTGTAGGGAAGAGAGGACTTCTCTGTGCCTGGTTTTCATTAATTTTTGGAATATGAATCATATCTAGACTAATTGTTTTCCAGAATTGCCTAGATTAATACTATAATGAGATGGGAACCTTAATGAACTAATTGATCCACCTGATTTGGAGCATTAGTTGCAAAATAGGGGAGAATGTGAAGCTAGGTCTTTATCCTTAATGAGTTAGAACATACCTTGTCTTAGAGTTGCTTGGCATTGCTAATTTGAGGAGAGAAAATTTTTACTTTTTTTTAGAAGACAGCGATTGAATAAAGTAATTCACATCAATAAAAGAAACTGAGTTGGAGTTGAATTTGCTGCCTTTGGAATAAGTAATGAATTCTTATGTTTAATAAGGTGGAATATTTACTGTCATTAACTTTGCTGAGTAGGCAAACTTTTATTGTCCAGTTTATTCCAGTGAGTTCCTAGAGTCATCTATTAATGTGTAAATTCTGTAAATATCAGCACAGTATTCTGTACTCACGGTCCTTTAGTGGCTTTTCCAATTCTGTTATGATAGTTAAATAATAAAAAAAAAAAATATCTTGGGCTTCCCTGGTGGCGCAGTGGTTGAGAGTCCGCCTGCCGATGCAGGGGACACGGGTTCGTGCCCCGGTCCGGGAAGATCCCACATGCTGCGGAGCGGCTGGGCCCGTGAGCCATGGCCCCTGAGCCTGCGCGTCCGGAGCCTGTGCTCCGCAACGGGAGAGGCCACAACAGTGAGAGGCCCACGTACCGCAAAAAAAAAAAAAAAAAAAAAATATCTTGGTAAATTTGAGGCATTACAGGGATAATATGATGAAGCAGGTCTACAACCATTTAAAAAACAATATTTAGGTGTATTTTTAGACGTAGTTTACTGTGTAATTAAGCATTACATTTTAAAATTTTGCTTCTATGAAAACAGATTTTTGCACCTAAATCAGGTCATTTTTTTTTTTTTTTTTTGCACAAAAAAGTTGTTTATGACTGAAACATAGAATCAGGACATTGAGTTGTCTAAGGCATTATTCACATATTTTAGATTTTGGAGTAAACGGTATAGTAACTTTTTCATAGTATTTTAAAGTTGCAGTTTTAAGATGATATCTCTAAATGGTAACATCTACTGTTTTTTACAATTATCGTATCTGTTTGGAAAAGATTGAAAGTTCAATTATTGTTTAACTTTAAAACTTTATTTTCAAGAAGTCCAGACATTCCGAAGTGATACATTAACAATGCTTAGTATCTACTTTGCTGTGACTTTTGAGATTATTTGAAGTAAATGTCTTGTAATTCATTACTTATACTTCTTACAAACTTTTAAAATTTAAATTTAGAAATTCATGCTGAAGTCCAGCTTAAGAATTATGGGAAATTTCTTGAGGAGTATACCTCTCAATTGAGAAGAATTGAGGACGCACTGGATGATTCAATTGGAGATGTTTGGGATTTCAATCTTGATCCTATAGCATTAAAGGTTTGATTTTGTTTTATTTTTAAATTTATGTATACTTTTTAAGGACATACTGTATCTTGAAAACAGTTTTCAAAATTGGGATATGTATTTTTATTGTTTGGAATCTAAAAGAACTAAAATAAACTTGGAGAAAAATGGTTAATTTCCTTTTCTCTAAGCCATGCATGTGTTTTTGTTTTCCTTTTTAAAGAATGACATAAACTCAAAGTCTTCAGTGTCAAAGAATGACACAAACTCCAACTCTTTGAGCTAACTTGTTTTTCATTATCAAGAAAATGAAGAGGATTGGAATAGCATATTGAAGCTTTACTTGTTTTTTTTATTGAGGTTATTTTACATACAGTGAGATGCCTAGATTTAAAATACTGTTCAGTGAATTTTACCAAGCATCTATTCCCATGTATCTCATATCCCAATCAAGATACTGAATATTTCCATGATTGCCCAAAAGCTCCGTTTGCTATTTAGGGGACCTTAATATGGGAGTGATTTTTTTAAGATATAAAATAAGTCACTCCTGCTCTGTTCCATTTTGAGGTAGTTCTGTTTTATCTTTGAAACTGTTGGCGCTTAAGTAATAGCTAACATTTATTGAGTACTTATTATGTGCTAGATACTGTCCTAAGTCACATGTTGACTTACTTTAATAATAGCTTTCCTGAGATGTAATTCATATATCGTACAATTCTTTGGTTTTTACTATATTCATAGAATTGTGCCACCATCACCAGAGTCAATTTTAGAACATTTTCACCAGCCCAAAAAGAAATCCCATAGCCATTAGCAGTCACTGCCCATCTGGTGTGGTGCTAGTGCTGAGTACAGGGTCGAACACAAGTTTCCATAGAAGAGAGATAGTCTCTCAATTTGTGTATTTAGAATTTTCATGATTTTTTTTCAAATTAAAAAATTTTATTTTCCTTTGTTTCTATAGCTTTTGCCTTATGAACAGTCTTCCCTTTTGGAACTCATAAAGACTGAAAACAAGGTACAGATTCCTAAACCTAAAAATCTATTTTTAAAATGCTTTAGTTATCTGCTATAATTTACTTTTTTCCTTTTGTGTTTTTACTAGGTCTTAAACAAAGTCATCACTGTTTATGCTGCACTTTGTTGTGAAATCAAGAAATTAAAATATGAGGTAATTATTTGTACTCTTAAGACATTAAAAACATGATTTAAAAGCAAATATGTGCTTATATGTGTACAGTGTGCATAAATATTTAGTGAATGTTGAATGAACTGCATATTTATAATAGTAGTAGTAATGAGTACCATTCACTGGGTGTTTACTGTGTACCAAACACCATGCTAACCCCGTTAATGCTAATAACCACCCAGGAGGTACGTGAGGAATAGATGAGGAAACCAAAGCTAAAAGAGTGTCACTCACCCAGTATTTTACTGGTAATAATGGTTTGAGTCTGGGTCTGCATTCCTTCTGTGTTACTTGTCATATATAATGGCTTTCTGGATATAACTGATTTTTTTTTAAAGCTTTGAATTTTTAATATGTTCTGTGTTTCCTCACCCATGAGCCATTAAAACTCTGGTAGAAGATGGTAAACTTCATCTTTTTTTCTCTACCTTTTTGATACTATGTGGTTGCTTTTTCTCTCCTGAACTGTGGGAGGATGTGGGAAATTACAGAGTGGTCAGATAAGACAAAGTAAAGGCTAAAGAAATCAAGAAATAAGGTTGAGTATCAGTAATATCTTTGGTACTCTAAAGATAAATTACATTTACCTATATTGCAAGCAGTTTTTGAATTTAAGTGAATTTATGTATGTGATGTAGTCATCTGCTTACTATTAAATAGGGATAACTAAGAGAGCTTAGGAATTTAAAAACAAAATAGCAACCTTATAAAATTATTTTAATTTTTTTTAAACAGGCTGAAACTAAATTTTATAATGGTCTCTTGTTTTATGGAGAAGGAGGTAAGTTTTAAAATTTCACATTGTAATGTTGTGATGCTTTTTTTTGCGATTGAAATGAACAAAAAGTTAACTGGCAATTCTAGGACTGTCATGATCATGTGAAGTATTAGTGTGAGAAAATTAACATTCAGATTTTTTGTCGGTTTATATTTTTGTTTGGTAAACAGGTAAAAGAACCTCAGTGATGAAGCAGCAGCAAATTCTGTATGAAGTTTATTTTGATATTTTTATAAATTACAAAGCACTGTAGCTAGATGAGGATTTTCCTTGAATTCATTAAATAGTGAAACAGATGGTTACTTTTAATTGTGTGATTAATGATTGATTCATTTTTCTCTTCAGTGTAAAAATTCTGTTTTCAATACTATGCAGATTAGCAGATGTCCTATGAATAAAAATCACATTTTTTCTTTTGGTGTTGATTAAAATACAAAATTGAAATATTCTTCATGTTGCCTTTTAAAGCTACAGATTCCAGCATGGTGGAAGGCGATTGCCAAATTCAGATGGGGAGATTTATTTCATTCTTACAGGTAAATGGTTTTTACTTTTTATTGAGCCTTTTCTTTGAAAAGTTTGAGTAAATCACACATAATCAGAAAAGAGTTATGAAACCTCAAATGCTAAGAATGTGTAATGTGAGGGTAAGACACTTAGTTGGCGATGGATTAAATTGATAGTTAAGGAGATTGTAATTCCTGGAAGATGTTCATAGCATTTTTAGTAAGATAAGCTGTCAAAATAAGCTTCTTTGTATAATTTCATTTATGGACAGTTTATCACCATGCCTTTTAAAATAATTTAAATTTTGTACCTGGTAGGAAAGGATACTTTATGTTCGAAAAAGTTGTTAATGGAGATCATTAAGCTGTTATGTGAGCATTGATGAGGTTTAAAAGCAGCAGCACATGATGCTTCTAACCAGATGTTTCAGTTTAGATATGCTTTTCATCACTGCAGAGTTTTAGTTATTCTAGGTCTTTTGGTTTATCAAAAGAATGAAATAACTTCTGTTTCTCTGTTATAAAAACAATGCTTATATAATATGACACAGGCAAAAATTGGAGACAAGGAAACAGTACTCATAATCTCACTTACCTTCTGATTGTTGGATATAAGATTTGATATATTTCATTGGATCACGCATGCTACTATATTCAAATCTTTTATATCTTTACTACTTATTTTGGTCTTCTTACCTAACTGAGAGCATTTTGTTGAAAGTATCCTCTATGATGGTATGTGTCAGTCAGGGTTCAGTCCAGAAAACAAATCACATGAGGTATTTCAAAAGGGGAGATTTAATAGAGCTACCATATGATCCAGCAATGCCACTCCTGGGCATATATTCTGAAAGACAAAAACTCTAATTCAAAAAGATACATGCACCCCAGTGATACAGCATTATTTATAATTGCCAAGTTATGAAAGCAACCTAAGTGTCCATCAACAGATGAATGGATAAAGATGATGTAGTACATATATACAAAAATGGAATATTACTCATCCATAGAAAAGAGTGAAATAATGCCATCTACAGCAACAGAGCTGGACCTAGAGATTTTCATACTAAGTGAAGTAAGTCAGACAGAGAGAGACAAATATTAGGTGATATCATTTATATGTGGAACCTAAAAAATAATACAAATGAATTTGTTTACAAAACTGAAACAAACTCACAAACATAGAAAACAGACTTATGGTTGCCAAAGGGGAAAGGCGGTGGGGAGCGATAAATTAGGAGCTTGGGATTAACAGATACACAATACTATACATAAAATAGGTAAACAACAAGGATTTACTCTATAGCACAGGGAACTATACTCAGTCTTTTGTAATAACCTATAATGGAAGAGAATCTGAAAAAATATATAATTGAATCACTTTGCTGTACATCTGAAACTAACAGTATTATAAATCAACTATATTTCAATTAAAGAAAGAAAGAGAAAAAAAAAGAGATTTAATATAGAGAATTGGTTCCATAAGAATTGGAGGGCTGAAAGAAAAAACAGTGAGGTAAGCCAGAGGAAGCAGATATCACCTCTACATCTAGGGTAAAAAATGGAAAAGGTTCGGGTTGCCAGAGTCTGGGAGCTATAGGAGGAGGAGCCCTAGGGAATTAGTATCATACCTCTGAGGAAGCAGTGCTGCCTAGTTGCTGCTGGTAGAGTTTAAAATTGAAGATTGGTTCTGTAGTGCTGAAAGAAGCAGGAGCCTGGGGCAAGCTGCCATTGCTGGGGTGAACTGCTCCTGCCTGGATTATGTTGATAAAAACAGCAAGAAATAGGAAAGATGTCCATTTCCTGCCTTCTAGTCTGCTTTTAATGCCACCTGTTGGCAGAACCTAACAGGAAGCCTGCTGGGCAGGAGTCTAAGAAATGTTAATTTACAAGGTTGAAGTGAATGTGTCAGTTTCTCTAGTTTTGTCAAATTTTGCATTTCTTATTTTGAGGATGTTTTATTTGGTGCATACAAGTTTATAATTGTTCATAATTCCCAGTAAATGGAATCTTTTATTGTGTGGTGATCTTCTTAAGCTGTGATAATAATTATGTATGTAATATATAGTTACATATATGGTCATTAGCTATAGTAATGCTAATAAAATCTGATTGATATTAATATCATTGCCCCAGCTCTGTTTTAGTTAGCATTTTTTTTAAAAATTCTTTTTATTCTTTCAGCCTTTCAGTGTCACTATGTTTTAGTTGTGTTTCTTTAAAACTCCATCTATCTGGATTTTGCTTTTTTATATAATCTGAAAATTTTTGTGTGTTAATTGGTTAATTCTATTTCTATTTCTGTCTTATATAAATAGTGTATTATGTATCTGGACTTATTTCTGCCTTTTTGTTTTGTGCTTTCTATTTGTCCTGCATTTTCTGTTCTTTCCTCTGCTTTTATTAGACTTTTAGAAGTTTAATAAGAAATGTAAAACTAGAGCTGTTTAAATAAAATTGAAATGTATTATTTTCACTTTCAAAAAATTTAAATTGTGGATCTAACAGCTGCATATGATTCCATTTTTAAACATTCAACAAATGTTTTATGAGCCTAGCATATGTTAGAAACTGTTCTTGGTGCTTGGGATACAGCAGTGCACAAAACCAACAGAAATTTCTGCCCTCATAGAGCTTACAGTTTAGAGCAGCCATAAGTTTAATTAGGTTCTAAATATTTTAGGATAGATGTGAGTTAACTATTTAATGACAAACATATTCCTGGGATAATTAATATTTCACTTGATGTGTGCCAAGCCTGTTTATAGATAAGGTTCAAGGTAATAAACATGTGAAGTTATTTCAGAGTGACTTCTGAAGACCCCTTCCCCTCATTGTCGTACTTTCTAAACTGGCAGCTTCTGAGCTTCTTCATTCATTCAGATGTTCACTCATTTATTCATTTAATAGGCAGACATTTATTGAGAAGCAGTTGAGGGTTAGCCACTATACTGGGCAGTGGCCATTCAAAGAAGGAATAAGACGGTCTCTGTCAGTTAGGAATTATATGAGTAATGAAAACAAGACTTAAAATAGAAGGATGAGTGAAATGCTGTAGGGGCAAGGAGGTAGAAATAACGTTGGGAGGTGAATTAAGAACTGATTGCTTGAAGGATGCTTGAAGTTGTCTTTCTGCAGGTTAACTGGAGATTTTTAGTAGAAAACTATTTTGTTTAGCATTGTTACCATAAAAATTCAGTCAGAAATAGTGACATTTACTCAACTTGTAACATATACTCAACTTGTCATTTCAGGAACTGTCTTGTTTTGTTACGAGGTGCTATGAAGTGGTGATGAATGTAGTCCATCAGTTGGCTGCCCTCTATATCAGTAACAAGTAATGGATTTTAGAAATGTTATTACATTTTTAATAGAGATGCAGGAAATGTTTTTCTTAAACTAGCTAAATATCTGAAAGTTTTTCATTTGTTCACTCATTCACTCATTCCTTCATTCACTTATTCACCGTTCTTTGAACACTCATGATGTTTTAAACACTACTTGATGTGTGTAATCCATAGGTTAGTAAGACAGTTTCTGCCATGGTGAATGAGCCCATTATCTGTCTGAACGAGAATGTTGACAGAATAACCTTAAAGAAATCTGATTGTATAGAAAAGGCTAATATAGAATTAGTATATGTACCAAGTTCTCTCTACTTATTTCCTCTTTCCTTTACATTGAAGGATCCTTGGATTAGAATCATGTGACACTTTTCTTAAACTGCAGAATCTTGGGGAGTGGGGCTAGGTAATCTACCCTGAAAAATTTTTGTGAGTAATTCTAATGCTCTTCCAAGTTTGGGGACCACTGCCCTAAATCAAGAAAAAGACCACATTTTCATAGAGCCCTTAGTATTCTTAACCACCACAAAGTAATATCTTGCATTTGATTAAAACTGTATACTTAAAAGTTTTCCCATTTACTACTTAATTATAATGTTACAAAACTTTGTTTAGGTATATGACTAGGGATTCTTAATTATGAGAAGAGAGATAACTGAAGCCCAAAGGAATTATTTGCCAAGATTCCATAGCAAGTTAGGTTCTGCTTTTTTGGTCACCAGTCCATTCATTATTGTTCTTACTATACCATGCTGCATCTCAGCTCTCTTTATAAAGTGAAAGACTGTGTTAACTGTTTCTCATTCTCATGTTTTTCCAGTCAGTCAGTTATTTATTTTATGTTCTGTGCTCTCACTGAAGTTCTTCTCATGGCAGAAGCGAATGAGAGCACAGCTCCCCCCAACCCCTGCTGTACTTGGTGTGTAATTCAAAGAGACTCCCCACTACCACACTGCTGCCCTTGAAAGAGGAAATTTGTCTGAATTTTGTGTTTAATTTTTAAAATATTCTATCTTGTGGGATATTTGTATATGCTTTGATATACAAGTATTAATTTATTTACTGTTGAGTAGATTGACTCTCTAGGAAGTAAAATTGAATTATCCTGGGGCTTTTGACTTTGGTATAATTCCATTTGTATGCATTGTTTTTTCAGTAGGAATGAGAATGCTAGCAATAAATCCAGCTGAACAGAGGTCTAGTTCCCAAATGCCAGTTTGGGTGGGATAACAAAGATTCTAGTTGAAAATTGCGAAATTCTGATAGTTTAGAAAGAAATAAATACCAGTTTTGTTATTTCTTTAGCTTCATCCCAAGTTAGATCCTTTAGGTTTGAATGGCTAAGGTTATTCATGGGCTGCATATTGACATATACCTACCCACTGAGGAGTTGGGTGTAGGCAAGGAGAGCCCAGACTCTGTATGTACAAGTTATCTGCTTGGGAAAGTGGAATACGATAATAATTCTTTGGGTCGTGTAAATTTTAGTGACTAAAGCCTAAATAAAAATAAATACTTATTAAAATTCCAAGAGCTTCTGCTGTTACGTGTTTTCCTTAAACGTGAACTGTGACAAAAAAGGAGATTTTTTTTTTTTTAACTTGGGTGTTATTTTATTACAGGATTGCACCCAAAATTATAGAGACGACTGGAGTTCATTTTCAGGTAAAAGTAATTTAACTTGACCTGTAAAATTGTAATTTTTAGTATATTTTACTTTGGAGTTTGTATGATTGGGGAGTACAACAATTATTGCAAAGCTCTTAAAGGAGTTCTTTTTTTTTGCATTTGTTCTCTTTTGTCTGTGAAGTTGATGAGGCATTACTGACCCATTCTCAGTGTAACTCTTCATAGTATTGGCCCAATGCAGACTCTCCAAGTGGTCTCTTCAGAGAATCTACAGTATCACGATAAAGGATGAAATATTGGGTGAAGGGTTTCCCAATTTAAGGCTGATGGTTCCATCTGAGGATTAACAGTTTCATCGGTAGTTTAATTTACCCACTGCTTTAATTTAGTAATTAGCCCAAGTGTGTTTAACTTAAAAAATCCACATGAAGCTTAACTTCGAACTAGTGATTAAATGATAATCATTTAAGGTTTTTTGACAGACTATGTATGAGCACTTGGGAGAGCTGCTAACAGTTCTGCTTACCCTGGATGAAATTATTGATAATCATATCACATTGAAAGACCACTGGACTATGTACAAAAGGTGAGCCAATTACAATGTTTAAAATACTCTTACTTTGTATAGGTAATGTATTAGTAAAAAATAAATAAATAGTACAGATCTGTTAGGAGACCTGAAGATCTGTATTTAGAAGGATCTCATGTCAGATTTTCTTTGAAGACAGTAACTATTATTTTAATTTCAGGTAGGCTTTTTGAGAGTATGATATACTTGTACAAAGCATACTAATTCTTAAAGTGTAGTTGTTAATTTGACTATCTTAGGACTCAGATTCATTTTTTTTGTTCTATACGAATGATAGTTGTTTATTCTCAGCTTGGTTTTATTTTGTTTTATACTCCAGAACTTTTTAAAGTCAAGGCATTTTGTTTTATTCAGTTTATAAGCATTCGCTAAATGTTATCTAGAGAGCACCAGATATCTGAATTTAAGATGATATAAAAAGGTATGATTAGAAAATTAAATATGTTAGGATTGTTTTTGTTCAAATTTTCAAATGTGTAGAGACAAACAAGTGATACAAATATAAAACTTTGATTTCTGGGAATATTTTTAATACAAGAATTTATTAGGCAAATCAAAGGTCTTTCTCCTACTTTTCTACAAGGTTACTGAAATCTGTCCATCACAACCCTTCAAAATTTGGAATTCAGGAAGAAAAACTAAAGCCATTTGAAAAGTTCTTGCTGAAGCTAGAAGGGCAGTTACTTGATGGAATGATATTTCAGGTATGAGTGCTGTATCAGGCTATAATAAATGGGCTTATATTAATAGACCCATCTCAGAATTTTAGTGGGTCACTTTTATATTGTTGTGACTATATTTTTCTTTAAAAGTGCTTAGGCTTAAAACATAGTTAATGTACTAAAATATAGTTATATCAGTATCTAGTAGCAAATGAAATTAATAGTATACTGGTTGTATTTGTGATAAGGGTTTTTTAAATTATGTAAAAGGATAAAACTGTTCAAGGGTTAGTATCTGAGTAGTTGTGTCAAGCATTTTGTTTGTTGTTAACCTCTAGATTTAGGTTTGTAAGACAGCCTTTTATAAGTCTTTTAATTTCCTATTCGGAATATAATTTGCATCTGCACAATCCAGGTAGCTTCTAACCACATGTGGCTGTTTAAATGTAAATTAATTAAAAAAAATAAAAATTCATTTCCTCTGCTACACTAGCAACATGTCAAATTCTTAATAGCTGCATGTAATCTCATTATCACACTGTGCACCTTAAACTTATATATGTTACATGTCAGTGATATCTCAGTAAAGCTGGGAGAAAAGCCAGCTGTGGCTAACAATCATATAAGACAGCACAGATATAAAACATTTTCATCATCACAGAAAGTTCTGTTGGATGGCACAGCGTTGGGTAGTATCCACCAGAAATTGCATTACAGTACCCTTGAACAATGTGGGTTTGAACTGCACAGGTCCACTTATATATGTGTATTTTTCAATAGTAAACGCTATAGTATTACACAGTCCACAGTTGGCTGAATGCAAGTGTGCGGAGGAACCGTGGATGCAGAGGGCTAGCTCTAAATTATATGGGGATTAACCCCCACTTGTTCAAGGGTCAACTGTGTGTTCCATTTAAAATCTGCTTCAAGGTTACCTTTAATTTATATTTTAGATGATCACAATTTTTACAGAATGATCACAGCTCTTGTTTATACCAACTTAACTCTTAATCTGTTAATTTCAGAAGAATTTTTTTGTTGATTCTTTTTCCAGGAGCCATTTCTACACATAATGTAATAAAGTGTTAGGAAAGTAATTGTAATCAGAAAAAGTCTCCTCTTAAAATTGCAAATTAAAATAATAAAGCATGCTTTCCCATGCTTCATCAGATACACCTTCTATACATCAGCAAGCATAACTTGTGTGTATCTCTTCATGCAGAATTATAGATTTTGGTTCAGTTTTATTACTTTCACATAAGGGGTACTCAAATATATAAGTACATATACATTTCCCATTCAGAAGGATTTAGATATTAGCTTAAGGTTAAAAACCTGAGCCTCAGTGTTAGTAAAATCAAAATGATGAATGTAGGAGTTTATCACTCTATATTTAAATCTGTTTAAAGCATATTAAGTCATAATAGCTTATGAGAGTGTAAATTTTTCTAAATGTTTCCTGTCTAGGCCTGTATAGAACAGCAGTTTGATTCTCTCAATGGAGGAGTATCTGTGTCAAAAAATAGCACTTTTGCTGAAGAATTTGCACATAGTATTCGCTCAATTTTTGCAAATGTAGAAGCCAAACTTGGTAATGTAACATGCATTTTTTGGTTTTCATTTAAAGTTTTCATTTCCTTTAAAGCAGAATTTTAAGTATATTCTGTTTTTCTCTCATGTTATTGTTTTATAAGGAGAACCTTCTGAAATTGACCAGAGAGACAAGTATGTAGGAATTTGTGGACTCTTTGTATTGCACTTTCAAATTTTTCGAACGGTTGATAAAAAGTTTTATAAGTCTTTATTGGACATTTGTAAGAAGGTAAGAACTTGGAACTTCTATTTTTTTCAATTTGAATAGAGGGAAAAGATTTGGGATAAAATTGGGTATTTTAAAATGTATTTTATTCTTGCTTACAAAAATAATAATTTTTGTAATATTTTGTAATAATAATTACAAAAATAATATCATAATATTCATTTAAAAAAATCTAAGCATTCCAGAAATAAGTAACATAGTAAATGAAAATACCCCATAATTCCACATTGTATAAATACATATTAGTGGATGCTTTTCCACATTTTTTCCTGTACATTAACTTGCTATTACTACTTTTTTCTCTTTCTTTTCCTTCGCTTTCTCTTCTTGCCACCCATTCTCATTGAAGTAGGAAAAAATTTAAAACAGTTTTTTTCTTTGTCTTTGCTGTTTCCATGATGTGGCACCTGTTTTCAAAATTGAAAATTTAGGTGGTTTATAGAATCAAGTGATATATGACCATAAGAACCCAGCCATCTTGGATATTTATTTTGTATTTTTTCACTAAAATAGAGTGAAAGTAAAGGTCATGAAGACTCAAGTTTCTGTTTAATTTTTGCATATTTTTGTTCATCTGAAAATCTGTGAGTGTGTGTGTGTGTGTGTTGTTTAATATTTAGACAGAATAAAATTAGTGTCATGCTCCACACCAGATATAGGAATGCCTTTACTCTGTGCCACATTAACATAATTTATCTCATATTAATGAGTATCTTTTTATCATTATTTTTCTTGAAATAGGTTGTTTTCCATTGCATGTTGTAGGATTATTAAACAGTTTGTTGCTTAACCTGCATTTAATGATTTCCCTCCTCTTTCATTTCCGGTTTCAGGTACCAGCCATCACTCTGACTGCTAATATTATTTGGTTTCCTGACAATTTTTTGATCCAGAAAATACCAGCAGCTGCCAAACTTCTGGATAGAAAAAGTCTTCAAGCCATTAAAATATACAGAGATACTTTCCTACAGCAGAAAGCTCAGTCACTTACCAAGTAGGTTTTATAAGTACCCATAATGTAAATATTTAGATAGTTTATATTTTCAAATTTTATACTGATTCTAAATATGCAGAAAGCATTTGAATTATGAGATCAGACATAGTTACTCATTACCAGAGAAAACGTTGGGCAATCTCTAGGAGATTTATTTTCTAGGAGTGTTTTTGTTTTAAATGTTGTAGGCTTAAACTCAGTTTAAGATGTAGGCAAATTATACTTTATGGAAATATAGATATGTGTGCATACATTCATATACTTTTTGTCAGGTGCATTAAATATTTTTGTGTGTAAAGTGAAGTCTCTGCAGTAGATGCCAGTTGATGACATTTAGAACATTGTGTGTACATGACTCAATGTTGATTTTTGCAGGAGTTGACTTTAGTTTAATGCACTCCTTTTTTTCTTTATTTTTATGAAAGTAATGTATGCACATATTTAAGAAGTTAAGAAGTACTAAAGGTTCAGAGGAAAGAAATGATTGTCCTCTTCCCCATTCCCCCCTGTGCCTTCGTCCTGCTTCCTAAAAGAACACTTTTAACTCTTAGTTTCTTCTGATACTTACATCTTTTAGCTTATCTTACTGTGTAAAATTTCAAATATACACAAAATAGAGAAAATAGTATAATGAGCCCCCATGTTCTCATCACATAGCCTTAACAATTAAATTTACTGTACATTGTCACTTGAGTATACTGCTAAAATTTCACGTTGACTGGGATGAAGATTTTAAGTGAAGAGACACAGGACTCTGCCAGTGGCCCTGTACTGGACAGTTTTTAACTGTAACATGGTTAAAGGGTAATAGGGATATTTACCTACTTTCTGTTAATCTTGACTATTGAGGGGAAATTGGGTCACTCCTGTACAGTGGGGCAAAGAGGAGTATATCTGGAATAGACGAGATCCCCTAAAGCATCTCTTAGTACTCCCAAGTCCTATAATTAAAGTCAGTGGAGAGTGACAAGTGAATTCAGGCAGGACTGCTCATGGCAGAGATTTCAGGGCTCTCCAATACACTCTGAAACAGAGTTGAGGAGGGATAAAGACATAAGTTTGGATTTAGATTAAAGAGATGAGCTCAGTAGGATGGAGAGACAGGACCAGGCTTGGTAGCAGTAATTTATAAAAAGATGTGTATGTTTTAGTTATCAGAGACTTACTATTCTTTAACAGTATGATGCAGTTGCTAAAACTGTCAGTTTGTACTTAGATTACATTAATAACTATACCCAAGTTATGGAAGCTAGTAGTTATAATATCTAGGCTAGGGGAATTGGTAGTTCCATTAAATTCTTATTGGTCAGATTATAATGAGTGTATGGTGGTGCCACATTTTAAGAGGGCCATAAACTGTAGCATCTTCAGATGAACCTGATCAGGATGTTAGATCTGAGAACAATGACCTTTGAAGACTCATTGAAAAGTCTCTATATAGTTTGGCCTTTAAAAGAGAAATCTGAGGAATGATGTATTAGAGTTCTTTAAATATTTGAAGGGCATTCAGGTTGAAGAGGGAACAGATTTGATCTCTGTGGCTCCAAGAAGTTGAATTAGAACCAAAAGATGAATGTGACAGATATTAATAATAATTGCCAACGTTATCAAGCTTATAACTATGTAGTAGGCATTATGCTAAAGGCTTTAAACACATTATCTTTTGTAAACCCTGTAACAATCTTCTCATATGGGAAATAACAGAGTTACAACTAGTACTTACCCTATGCTTTCTATAAGCCAATAACTATTCCAGGAACTTCATGTGTATCTTCTTTTTTAATCATCAGAAAATCCTGTGAGGTAGGTACTGTTGTCATGTCCATTTTATAGGTGAGAAAATTGAGACACAGAGGGATTGAACTTACCAAATTGAAACAACTAATATGTGGCAGAGCTGGGAAGTCTAACTCTGGAGCACAAGCTCTTAACACTACCCTATAGTGTTTCTCTATATTTTTATCCCATTTTCAGGTAAGGAAAATGAGGCTTAGAGAAATGAACTTTGCCAGGTCACACAGCTGGGTACGTATCAGAGAAGGCATGCAAACCCACGCCCGTCCTACTCTAGAGCCTTTGCGACAGAGTTGTGTAGGCTGCCCTGAGAGGTAATGTACCCTTTCACTAGAGCTACGTAGGCAGGATATAGATGACCATCAGTCCAGGGTGCTGGAGGAACTGAGTCTTATTATGTAAAAGATTGAATAAGTTGACTTTCAAAGACCCCCCCTCCTCCGTGTGATAACATTTCAATATTTCTAAATTCTTTAATTTCAAAAATATACCTCTCTGCAGTCACTCTAGAGCTCCTTTGAGCTGAAGGGGGCAGTGTCTTTTTCATTCTCCTCATTAACTGCCAAAGAAACCTAAAATTCACAACACTAAAGTGAAACCCAGGAGAGAGGAGATGGTGTGATCAGCATGAGCTTTGTCTGACATTTTAGAAAAAGTTGAGCAAGTGACTAAGGGCTGTCCCAGTTAGGCTTCAGAGTTCATTATGGAGAAAGAGGAAGCAGTGGGGGACAGTTTTCCTGCCTCCGCACCATACATTAGACCCCACGTGGCCAAGTGCCCCCAGCCACCTCTTTGACTAGGGTCCAAGGTTTGTAGGTTGCTGCATTTTGCTTTTTGTTCACAACCATTTTGATGCTGGGGATACTGCCCTTGGAGGGTAGAGGTATGAACCTTTGTTTCAAACCCCCAGTTGACGTACAAGTGTTGACACTGTTGAGTGCTTCATATTAGGACAGGAGATTTGTTCTTTCTCCCTAGTGTTACTCCTGTTTATACTTTGAAATGAAGCTGACAATCTGACAGGACCCTTTTTGGACTCACTTTGTCAATTAAGTTGGCTTTTTAAAACTTGAAGTAGTTTCATTTTTATATATTTACAGGAGATAAAGATTATCTGGTGTCTGGATGTAGGAATGATGGGTGGAGTGACAGACCTCTGCTTTATCCCGTGTAGTGTGATCTAAAACTGAGTGATTCTTGACTGCCCTTGACTGTGTATTAGCCTTCTTCTTAATGTTACTGACTGGATTGCCATCAACTTGATTGCTGTTGTAGGCCACTTCCTTCTGTCCCTGCTCGTGACGTTACTGTTCCCTTCTGTACATTGTATCCCTGCTTGGGATCACAGCCTCTTCCTTAAAGTGGAGGCATTGCCCTAAGACTCTGCTCTTACTCTGTGTTCCAGACTTCTAAATCAAATCATCCACAAGTCAAATAATACATTTTAGTGCCATTTGAGGCAAAGCCAGAAGTGCAGCTATTGGTGTTTTTTGTATAATGGAATCCTGGCTCAGAAGAAATAATTTTTCTCAGATTTGATTGAATTAATTAAAATTAAACTTAATTTTTTTTTTTTTTTTTTTTTTTTGCGGTATGCGGGCCTCTCACTGCTGTGGCCCCTCCCGTCGCGGAGCACATGCTCCGGACACGCAGGCTCAGCGGCCATGGCCCACGGGCCCAGCTTCTCCATGGCATGTGGGATCCTCCCGGACCAGGGCACTAACCTGTGTCCCCTGCACCGGCAGGCGGACTCCCAACCACTGCGCCACCAGGGAAGCCCAAACTTAATTGTTTTTAAAATAAAAGAAGTATAGCTTAAATAGCTTGTGGGCTAAAAGTTCTCATCTTGAGTAATTTGAAATGCATTGATACAGTGATTTAGTGTTAGTAAGCAGCCTGCATAGTAGAATTATATTATTAATTTAGTTTTTCCACGATGGGAAAGCTTCCTAGATTTGGGCTAAAGTCCTGGCTCGGCTGTGTACTAGTTATAGGATGTTGGGTACATTACTTCTCTGTGTGTCAGTTTCCGATTCTGTAAAATGGAGATCGTAATACTTAACCTCATAAGGTTAATGTGACGATTTAATGAGTTAATTTGTGCAAAGTGCTTATAACAGTGGCTGGGCATATAGTAAGCATTCAGTAAATGTTAGCTTTTATATTCAGATTCTGACAGCTTCCATTCATCTCTGGTTCAAGCTGTCATCCCCCTTTTCCTGCATTATCACAGGAGCTTCCTAAGTGGTTTTCGTGCTTTTACCATTGTCCCCTTTGTAGTTTATTTTCAACATACCAAAGTGATATTGATCCTGTTCAGAGTTAGAGTAGGTCACTCTGCCCAAATCCTCTAGAGGCTTTCCACTGAAGTCCTTACTGCCCTACCAGGCATTACACAAATCCCCTTTCCACTCTCCACTTCCCTATTCCTCCCACCCCCCGACCCCTGTACCTCTCTGATCTTTTCTGTTCTCATCTCTGCCCTCTGTGCTCCTGTCATACTGACTTCTTTGTTATTACTTGAACATGCCAGATAAACTGCTGTTTTGGGATGATTGCATTTGTTATTTACTTTCCTAAAATTCTCCTCTATATATTTGCATGGATTACTTATTCAACTTCAAATCTTGGCTCAAAATCAGCTTTACAATAGGCCTACTTTGATCACTGTATTTAAAATTGTACTTACCACCCCAGTGGCTCTTTTCCCTGCTATATTTTTTCCATAGCACATATCTGACATCTTACAGATTTCAGTTTCTGATTTCTTTATTATACAAGTCTCCTTTCTAGAATGTAAGCTTCGTGGGGGCAGAGATTTTTGTTTATTGTGTTTACTGCCCTTTTTTGTTTTTAGTACTGAGAAACAGTGCCTGGCATGTATAGGCATTCAGTAAATATTTGCTGCTTAAGTAAATTATATTTGTATATATGATATATGTATATTTTGAAAACCAGAAAGATGAAGTGGCTGCTGCAGAGAAATACTCCATCCAGTATGAAGAAATGGAAGTAAATTTTCTTTCCTATGCTGAATAACCTCAATATTTTCCTTTGTTAGAGATGTACAATCTTACTACGTCTTTGTGAGCTCATGGATGATGAAAATGGAATCTATTTTATCTAAAGAGCAGAGAATGGATAAATTTGCTGAAGACCTCACCAATAGATGTAATGTTTTTATACAGGTAGTTGCATCTTCTTACTTAGAATATTTGGGGGGGTGGTCATTTCTTTGTTAATCCAATGTACAGAAGGTGCACTTTGATAAAACTGTAAAGGGTGGGATGTGTTTTTGTCTTTAAAACTGAAAATTGATTCGGTTATGTATGTTTGGATCTGTTTGACTTAATTAATTAATTTAGATTTTCTAATATATGCATTTAAATCTCTACACTCCCTCCAAGGCATGACTTTTTTGCTGTATCCCATAAGTTTTTTTTTTTTATCCCATAAGTTGTGATGTGTTGTATTTTTATTATTCTTTAGTTCAGAATATTAAAAAAGCATTTATTGTGAATTTTACTTTGCTCTCTTGGTAATTTTGAAATAGAATTCTTAGTTTCTAAATGCATGAGGGTTTCCTAGTTATCTTTTTATTATTGATTTCTAGCAGTACTAAAATACTTCCAGTATTTTGAAGTTTGTTGAGATTTGCATTGTGGCCCAGCCTATGGACAACTTTGGCAAACATTTCATGTATACTTAAAAAGAATGTAATTTGCTTTTTGTTGGTTGTGGTGTTCTATATATATCAAGTAGGGTCATGTTTGTTAATGATTTTGTCTGAATATTCAATCAGTTACTGAGACAGCTGGGTTAGAATCTCCCACTATTATTGTGGATTTTTCTATTTACCCTTCGTAGCTTTGTCAGCTTTTGTTTTATGTATTTTGAGACGAAGTAAGTGCATAACATTTAGAATTGTTATAGTTTACTGGTGAGTCAAACCTTTTTATCATTGTGACATGTCCCTTTTTATCTCTAGTAATGCTTTTTGTCATAGGTCTTTTGTGTGTGATAGTAACATAGCTGTACCAGTTTTCTTTTAATTAAGGTCTATATGGTCCATCTGTTGTCATCCTTTTACCTGCAACCTGTTTGACTTCTTTATTTAATGTGTGTCTCCTATAAGCAGCCTGTATTTCTCCCCAATAAAACTGTTTTCTGTATATGTCAATACTGATATTTAGATTTAAAATTAGCGCCTGATTAGTTGCTTTCTATTTGTCTCACTTGTTCTGTGTCCCTATTCTTTTCCTTCCTTGCTGTCTTTTGAATTATTTTTATTTCATTCTTCCTTCTATTGGTTTGTTAATTCAGTATTTTACTGTTTTTTTAGTGGTTAATGTAGAGATATTAAGATGCATTATTGAACATTCAACTCCAATATAAATTAGTAGTTTCACCACTTTCCAGACAGTATAAGGATCTTAAGCCACTAATTCTATTTATCCCTCTCTCACCTGTGCTGCTGCTGTGTATTTTGATTCTGTGTATATTTTAAATCTTATAAGGCATCGTTGCTGTTGTTTTTAATAGTATTCATTTAGATTTACCCATATATTTACCCATTCTGTTGTTTTTTATCCTTCCTGCATCTCCTCATCTTTCTACTTGCAGAATACCTGTTAGTATTTCATTTAATTTTGTTTTTGTTGAGAAGTCAGCTGTCGGTTTTGTTGCTTTTTCAATATGTGTCTTTGTTTAATTGCTTATAAGATTTACTTTTCGGTTTTTAGCGATATTATTACTTTGATGAACCTATGTGTGGTTTTCTTTGTGTTTGTGCTGCTTGGGATTTGTAGAGCTTCTGGAATTTCTGGAAAATTCTCAGTCATTAATTCTTTAAGGACTATTTCTGTTCTATTCTCTTTCTGTTCTAATTATTTTTTCAGTTACATCTAACCTGCTATTAAACCCATCTGCTGACTTCTTATTTTTTTCTGAGTTCTTAATTATTTTACTTTTCAGTTTGTTTCTTTTTTATAGTTTCCAGTTTTCTGAAATAATTTTGTGTTTTATTTCTTCAGTATATTCAACATAACCATTTTGAAGCCCATGTCTAATAATTTCATTATCTAGGTCTTTCTATTATCTATTTTTTGTTGTTGTTTGTTTTTGGATATGTCTTATCTCTTCGTATGCCTTGTTATTTTTAATAACACATGTTGTATATGGAAAAACTGTAGATATAATTGAGGATCTGGGTATTGTTTTTCTTCCTCCAGAGAGGATTTAATTTTTGCTTCTGATACACAGCTAGTCTAGGACAAGCAGCACCCAGGTCACCTCAGCCCAGTCATAGATTGAGGTGACTTAACGTGGGACCTAAATTCTATGATGGCTGTCTTTTCTAGTTCCTGCTTACTTTCTAGGGGGTAGTTTTTAAGAACCCAACTCAGAGCCTAGATGATTTGCCAGGACCCCCTCCCCTCCTTGATGGGCCATGAACTCATATTTTTACCCTCCTTCCCTTGTGGGTTTGGCTTCTGTCTTTACTACCCTCTTTGGGAATGGGCAGATGCCTCTGTGGGAAAGCAGCCACAGATGCCAGGCTCATGTCTTTGGGTTTCTGTCTTCTCCCAGGTCTTGGCCTTGTATTTTCTTATTTTCTTGATAGCTCTTTGATGCTTTTCAAGAGATTTAAAAAATGTTCTGCCCAGATTTCCTAGTTGTTTTCTGTGGAAAGGTTGGTCCAAATTATTCTGCATTTAACGGAAACAGACCCCAGACCTCCCCCCTCCCCATTTAGATGTTTAAAATACATCTTTTGTGTATGTCCTTCACAAATTAATGACCATCAAGGAATGGTGTGGTATTGGCCCATGAGTTCTCTGCCCCCTTTCCCCCACAAAAAAGAAACTCCCTTTTTTTTTTACCTGCCTTAGAGTTATACTTTTGCTGTTCCTTGTCTCTGCTTTTTAACTTTTCCCAGTGCTGCACTAGGGCAGAGTCTGGTGTAATAGTCCTGTAGCTGACAAGGTAAGACTTGTGGCTCTTTCCTGCGTGTATACCCCAAGCTTTGGTTTTATTGTCACCTCTTAGGATGCTACCTTCTCTCTCATTTCTTAGTTCTCTTAATTTTATCACATCTCTTCATCACAGAGCTATTATTGGTTCCCAAAAATCCCCTCTCCCCGCATTGGGTATCACTCCTTTAGTGAGCCATTGTTACTGATGGTAGAGCAGGAGAAAAAGGTTGAGAATCACTGGCATATAGCTTCTGCCCTGGCTCATTGGATATATTCACAATAACGTAGTTCATCTCTAAACTGTACATTGTCTTTTTTTTGGTCCTTCTTTATAAACCTAAAGAATCTCCATCATTATGTTTCTCTGTGTCCTTTTTGGATCTAAATGAAAATATATTTGAGAGGTAGTACCCTTTTTCCTGTTTTGTATTCTATACTGTTTCCCTGGGTTTACTAGCACTAAATTTTTTTTTTAAACGTTACAAGACCTGTGGCTTCCTTCATAAATAGAAGGATAGGAGAGAATCTGTTCTTATTGGGCTGGAAGGAGAGAAAGACTGAATAGCACCAGCATAGCAGGGGACATGGTAGCAGATGGATAGTAGGGATTGTCCTGGGTGAAAAAGAAATGGGGATTCGCTTGGAACTGAGAAATACTGTTGGATATCTGTACTGGCCAGAGAGCAGCTCTCTTTCTTCTCATTTTTCAATTCCTACTTCCTTAGAGTCCTCAGCTCTTGTCTTAAGCTGCAGCAGATAGGAGTCTTTATCCTCTTGCCTGGCAGGTAAGATAAGGATGAATAGATATCTTCCTGACATCCAAATCGTTCCTCTGAAAGTCTTGTTTTAATGGAAAGATTCTTTAACTGTAATGTCAACTGTACTAAACTTCTCGTAAGTGATAGGTTACATAACTTTTAAGGGCTGCTTTGAAACTTAACCACCATGTATAACAGTGTGTAAGAAAGAATATTTCAAAATCTTAAGAGCTGACTTTAAAATGAACTTTAAAAACACTAGTTATTGGCAAGTTGAAGAATTATTATTACATAGAGAATGAAATCTTGAAGAAATGAAACCTTTTCTTGTGATTTTAATCAATGTTTTATATTATTTTTTATAGGGTTTTTTATATGCATATAGTATTAGTACCATTATTAAAACCACAATGAATCTCTACATGTCCATGCAAAAGCCAATGACCAAAACATCAGTTAAGGCATTATGCAGGCTTGTTGAACTTCTCAAGGTAGGTTTTAGATTATTTTACCTTGCCATTATAATTGAGAAATGACCCGAGCTTAAAGCAGGATTTTTTCTTTTGGTTAAGATTTGACTTCTTGATTACGAGAATAAAAAAATTATGGAAAAGTGTACTCATCTGTCAGTTGGATAACGGAACTAGCCACTGAAAGAAATTTCTGAGTAGTTTTCTATGAATGGCCAATAAACTTTATTAAAAGTTAACATGTAGTGAAAGAGAAAAGAAGGAAAATGAAAAGGTATTAGCCTAAGTATTGGTAAAGTTTTACTCACGGAAGTTTTAAGCATGTTGCATGAGTTTTAAAAATACATGAGACGGGCTTCCCTGGTGGCACAGTGGTTGAGAGTCCGCCTGCCGATGCAGGGGACACGGGTTCATGCCCCGGTCCGGGAAGATCCCACATGCTGAGGAGCGGCTGGGCCCGTGAGCCATGACCACTGAGCCTGCGCACCCGGAGCCTGTGCTCCGCAGCGGGAGAGGCCACAACAGTGAGAGGCCTGCGTACCGCAAAGAAAAAAAAAATACATGAGACGTTAATATTATTTTATAGTATTCAAATGCATATGAGGCTAGTCAGCAGAGGCTGTTTATTTTGTAATTTAGAGAAAGTGTTATAATTTTGGGATTTGAATACTTTTGAAAATGTGGTAAAATGCTTCTTAGCATACTCTGTATAAATAAAAAAAAAGAAACTCCTTACAGGCAGGAGAGCCCACTTTTAACCTTTTGTAAAAACTGAAATAAAGATTTGCTAGTAAATTTCTGCTAATAGTGGCTTTAGATTGGCTTAGGAAATAAAGATAGTTTGGAGATTGTGTCTTTAGATTTTTAGCATTTTTTTCTTTAAGTTATTACCAGTTATATTTATTTTTTATGAAATACAAATACAGAAGTATATATATGTATAGATGCATATATATCTTATATCTAATATATAAGCATAATTTTTAAAATAATAAACACTTAAAAACCTATCATCCCACTTAGGAAATAGAATGTTACCAATATTTTCAAAGCCCCTGTGTTGTCCCTCCCTGATCGCATCCTATCCTACCTCCTCAGAGGAACCACAGCCCTGAATTTTATCATTCCCTTGTTTCTTTTTAGTTTGCCACATATCAGTGAATCTATCAACCATTCATTGTTTAGTTATGTTTTTGAAATTTGTATTAATGTATTCTTCATGTGTTCTTTGGCTTGGTTCATTTTACTCAAAATTTTTTATTTGAACTTAACCATGTTGGGATGAGTAACTGTAGTTCATTAATTTTCATTACTGTGTAGCTTTCCTGGGGATGGACTTTTGGTTTTTTTTCCAGTTTTTGCTATTATAAATAAATAATGGTGCCATTTTTGTATATGTCTCTTGGTGTAATTGTGCAGAAGTTTTTCTGAAGTATTGTATACCTGTGAGTGGATTGCTGGGTTCTGTGATATGTACATAATCAGCTTTTCAAGATGATGCCAGATTGTTTTCCAAAGTAGTTCTATCAGTTTACACACCTCCCACAATATATTAGACTTCCCATTGTTCCCTAACTGACCAACATTGGTATCATCGGCCTTTTGTGTGTGTTTGTGTGTGTGTGCGCGTGCACATTGGTGTTTATAAATGATTTTATACTTAACATTCATTTCCCTGATTGTTAATGATGGTATCTTGTCTAATACTGTTAACTGTGTTTCTTTTGTGAAAAATATATTCATGTCTTTTGTTCAGTTATCTATTGAAATTTTTGCCTTTTTTTAAAAAAAGTGTTTAATTTGTTTGGTGTCTTTACATATTCTGTGTACTAATCCCTTGTGTGTGGCAGATATTTTCTCATATGTTGGCTTGTCTTTTAATTTTCTTTATAGTGACTTTTGATAAATAGAAATCATTAATTTAGTATAGTTGAATTTACCAGTCTTATCCTTTATGGTAGTGCTTTTTGCATCTCATTTACAAATGTCTTACCTAGCTCAAGGTCATAAAGATATGCTGTAATTTTACCTAAATGTTTTGAGTTGATTTTCATAAAATCACTTGTGATTCTTTTTAGGCAATAGAACATATGTTCTACAGGAGAAGCCTGGTTGTGGCTGATTCAGTCTCACATATAACGCAGCACCTTCAGCATCAGGCTCTTAATTCTATTTCCGTGGCCAAGGTATGAAATTTCGTATGTATCCAGCATAATTATATTATCTTTCTATTTTGCCCTTCCTGTTGTTTTATTTGTGTTTTCTAGTTAAACCTGTGTACTCCATTTCTTCAAACACAGTATTCTTGGTTATAATCTCCATGGTATTTTATGATTTTACTTAGAGTGATCTGGGTTATCTTTACTCTGAACTTGTAGCATTAACACAGTTCTATTAAAAAATGACATATTATGCATTTTTAAAATATGATGCATCTTCTTTTAAGAAATGATTTTCTTATTATATCAATACGGTAATTTTGAAGTATGCCTAGTAATTTGCTGTCCCTGACAGTGCTCAACAATAATGTTATGGCAGTAAAGCATCTAACATCACAAGAAGCTGAACGGGGAAAGTATTTGTCTAAGTGCTCTTAAATTGAATCATGGAAAAGATAACTGAGAAATTTTTCTTCTGCATCTTTTGTTACTGCCTCAGATTTAAAGCTGATATTTCCTGTTTTCTTTTATCTTTAAGAAAAGAGTAATTTCTGACAAAAAATATAGTGAACAGCGTCTTGATGTGCTCTCTGCTCTAGTTTTGGCTGAAAACACTCTAAATGGACCAAGCACAAAGCAACGACGACTTATTGTTTCTTTGGCACTAAGTGTTGGCACACAAATGGTAAGTGTATTGCTATTATTTATGGAATAAAAATGAGATCTGAGGTTTCACACTTCCCTTATTACTGACCTAAGAAACCTGTCTTTTAAGTGCAACTTCTCTGCCTTTTTCCCCTCCCTGATAGAAAACATTTAAAGATGAAGAACTCTTTCCACTTCAAGTAGTCATGAAAAAGCTGGATCTTATCAGTGAACTTAGAGAAAGGTAAGTAGGTATATGTAATGATACTCAAAAGATAGGGGTAATGGAAACATCAAGGCTTTTTTTTTTTTTTTAAGGATAGCAAGACAAGGAATATAACTTAGGTAGACCATTAGTTCCTGTTCATAACTTCTTTAGCGTGACTAAAAGTAGACTGTGACAAGCGATCATATTTCTTTAACTTTGCTTCTACAGTAAGGATGTAGCTTTTGGAAGAACTCACATGAGAAAATATGATATAGCCCTTAGGGCATCTGGCAGACCCTGGAACATATTGTGATTGTTGTGATGTATATCTGTGATGGAGTTAAAATTGCTGCTTTATAACAAGACTTCATCTATTTGTGAGAGACTTAGAGCCATCTCACATAGTCTTCTGTAATTTTATTTGGGGCATGAATTTGAATTACATTGTTGGTTAGCCAATCACTAAGATGAATTAGGTTTTGGAAGGCTTATTTATATAGCTCCTGTGGCTTTATTGTTTTCTTTTTATTAAGTAAGCAGTAAGTTTCTTAATGGGAAAGTGGGTCTTCTGAATTTTGATTCCCTGCCGAATTAACGTTTCAGCACAATTTGTATTTAATGCTCATATTTGTAACGTGACGTTTTTGTTGTTCTGAGAAGCTCAGATTTTTGTAGTTAGTGCCATTTAACTTTCTACCCTTGGTAGAAATACTGAGCCTTCTTTACTCAAGATACTTAATGATCATTTTGTTGCCTGATAATGTGTGAAATAGTCACTTAGCAGAGATTATAGACAGGTTGAGTGCTACTGGTTTTTGTTGTTGTTGTCATTGTTTTGGTCACAGTTTTTTGAAAAGTCTCCATTTCAGCTTTGAGACAGGTGCATGTGATGCAGGTCTTGTAAGTCTAGTCATATCAAATAATATTGAAAATAAATTTATTTTAAACTCAAAGTTATCTGTATATATTTTTTAATACTTTTATTGGAGTATAATTGCTTTACAATGTTGTGTTAGTTTCTGCTGCACAACAAAGTGAAAGAACTGTAAGTATACATATATCCCCATATCCCCTCCCTCTTTAGCCTCCCTCCCACTCTCCCTATCCCACCCTATATTGTTTCTTAAGTATGCTTTAAAACTGAAGTGTATTTGCAGAATTCTGACAGTGTCGAGTATTGGAGTGTTTTGTTACTGTTGTTCAATTTGAAAAATATTTATTTTGTGGCTTTTCTATACTAATTTTGGGTTAAATGATGTAAAGAATACAAAAGAGTAAGACAGAGCTTTTACCCTTATGATACATAATGTCATTCCTTTTATTATTTTTTTGGGTTACTTCAATTTTGGTACCACTAATTATTACTTTACATTGTAGAGTCCAAACACAATGTGACTGTTTTTTTTTATACTGGCATCGAGCTGTCTTCCCAATTTATTTAGATGATGTATATGAAAATGCTGTTGATGCAGCCAGATTACATGTAAGTAAAGAATAATGTATAGAATAAACCCATCAATTTTTTAGTCACTGTGTAAACCACTTTAATTAATTTAAAAATAGATCATTTAATAAACTGTTTTAAAACTGCTGATGCTGTTTTTTAACAGTGCTATGCATATTCAATAAAATTTATATAGTCTTAGATAAATTTTATATTACTACTAATGAATTAATATATATTTCACTCTTCTCATATTCCTAATCATTCTCATTGCACTGGGTTTTAGTTTGTGTCAAAATAATATGACTTATTTGTCAGTAAGTTATATGTTGTTCAGATCTTTCCATTTCTTTATGGAAATGAGTGTATTTGAATGATCAAGGTAGGAAAAGGATAAGTTAATGTGAATTTTTTGTATACTTAAAGTATATGCTTCTGAGAATAAAATTCGACTCTTACTTAGGAAAGTAAGATAGTCATGTATAAAAAAGCCTTCAGATTGAGGTGTTGTCTTTTAAGGTAGGTAATTAACCTTTGTAATATAATTTAGAAATGTAATTTTTCTAAATTCATGTACATTCTACTTTTCGTCTTAGTACATGTTCAGTGCTTTACGTGACTGTGTACCTGCTATGATGCATGCAAGGCATTTAGAGTCCTATGAAGTACTTCTGGATTGCTATGACAAGGAAATCATGGCAATTTTAAATGAGGTAACATATTTTGAGATTGAAAAGCTTAAAACGTGTCTAGAATGCAATGTTTAGAAAAACTTTTTGGATTGAAGCAGGCTTTCACAAATTTAAGATTATTATTGTAAATCACAAAGGAACTATCACTATTGTGCTAAATTGGTCTTTAATTCCTAATTTTTAATATAGAAATCCAGGAATTTGGAAAACTTTTTTACTTTAGTAAGTAGTATATTTGAATTTAAAGTTCTGTTTGTTAGAAGAATGCAAATGCAAAAGTTGGTTTGACTATTGTCTGCAGCTAATGGTCATATAGTTAAGGTAACTTAACTACTAATGTTTTATTGAATTTCATTTGGAAAGCTAATGACTGAAATATTTTATATTTAAAAGTATAAAGCCTATTACTTGTGTAACAGATAATTTGAGTGCAGTATAGTACATCCGTCCCTGTTTTAATGAAGTGTGTATTTTAAACACTGATATCTTTAAAATTAAATTTCCAACTAGCAGTATTTTTATATGGAGGGAGGAATTAAAAATGAGTAAACTTCACAATATAAACCGTATATAGGTTTGATAAAATTGTGAAATTTTTAAATATAATTTCTCATATTAAATACTTGTATTTAGAAATAAGATACATGTCTGGCCAGTACTTAGAACCCCGTGGTACACCAGAAAAAATGATTAATTTCATTGCCTTTAGCTCAATGAGTTTTGTGATTTTTTTTTTTAATGATTATTACAAGGAAGCTTTTAAAGATTTTTCTCTCTTGCATATTCTCAGGACCTTTCCTCCTTTGTTGCCAGTTTCTATAAATTTTTTGCTTTATATTGTATATTCATGTTTCTTGTAATGAAGCCATCAGACGTTACCTTTTGATTTTTTTTTCAAGGGTGTTATACTTAAAATACTAATGAATTCATTAGAACTCATCTAACTGCCTGCTCCCTGGTCAAAAATAATCATTGATTTTCAATAGATAGCAAAATAATTTCACTCTCCCAATAAAATAATATTTTACCATAGAGTATTTAGACTCTTAAACCAGTTTGACAAATTTTTTCATCATTGCACAGATATTAAAGCTCTAACAGTGAGAACATAGACACCTAGAAGAATAATACAATTAGAATATTATTTTGAAAAATTAAGATAGCAATTTGTTTTTGAATAGCATTTGCTGGACAAGTTGTGCAAAGAAATAGAGAAGGACCTGCGACTTTCTGTGCATACTCATTTAAAGCTGGATGACAGAAACCCTTTCAAAGTTGGCATGAAAGACCTGGCCCTTTTTTTCTCTCTGAATCCAATTCGGTTTTTCAATCGTTTCATTGACATTCGAGGTGAGTGTTCTGGTTTCCTTCTTAGGGTCATATTCTATATCTGTTTGCCCTGTTAAAGAGCAAATAACAAAAACGAAACCTTGAAAAAATCTTTCTTTGTATTAGTGCATTTATTCTTGAATTCCTTTTTGTTTCTTCATTTTTATTTTCCTAGCACCTTAAAGGAAGAAATTTAATGTTCAAAGACAGGTTGTTTCCTTTTTAGTTTCATTTCTCTTCCTTTCCTACTGTTCATGAATCAGAAAAGTTTTGATTGTTTTTTTTTTTTTAAGCTTATGTAACTCACTACCTAGACAAGACTTTCTACAATCTAACAACAGTAGCTCTTCACGACTGGGCCACTTACAGTGAAATGAGAAATATAGCTACTCAGCGTTATGGATTGGTTATGACCGAGGCACATCTTCCTAGTCAGACTTTGGAACAGGTATAGTATAAGCTGTTCTTGGTATAGTCTGATAGTAGCATGATAACAGTATTTCTCTAAGAAAAATTCTTTCTTTTTACTTTATTTAGTACATGTTTATATTCCAAGAAAAAATCTCATACTTGAGAAGAATAAAAAATTAGACGGTGCTAAATTGCTTTATGAAAGAATTTACCACAGCCTTCCAAATGTTTATACTTTTCCTTTTGTTGAAAATTTGAAATATACAGATTTATTTACAGCTTTTCGGGATAGTGAGGTGACTTCTGCCGAATTTTAAAAAGTTTAATCAAGGTGACAGTTAAGGATTTTAAACCTAGATACAATAATATATAAGCTTTAATATCTTAGAAAATTAGTTAAATTTACGTAATTGTATTTGTCTTAAAATGAGGAGTGCAAACAATTATTTAGGTTTACTAATTCAATAAGCTAATTTACAGTATAGTAGTATCTCATGAGTGCAAAGGTTTGTTTTCAGTTAATGTGCATGTAATTCTTTCTAAGATAATCCAGTTAATATTTACCAAAAAATCTTAATTCAGTTCCAAAAGTTGAAGATCATAATTTTTCATTCATCTTACTGCATATACAGGGACCAATTGCAGGATCAGTTTGTATATCCTTTCATTCATTTATTTATAAATTTAATATTTACTGAAAATGTGCTAGACACTGAACTACATTTAGGGATACAGAAATAAAAACAGTCTCAGCTCATGTGGGAGAAAAAAATGAGTAAATAAATTTTTAGATTAAAACATGAGAAAATTTATAAAAGCTTAATCAAAGGGGTATTGTGATATTACTTTGAGCCCCAATTAGAAAAGCTATGGAACAGTTTGTATGATACCATTAGGTATTAGAGTAATAACTGAAGAATGAAGGATTCTTGTTAGGTAACTTGTATATTAAAAGTGGTCTAGTATGATTAAAAGAAGCATAAGGATTTGGAATTAGATTTTTTTAAATCCCTGGGTTCTGCCTCTTCTTAGTTTCCTTGCGGAACTCCCTTAGCTTCATTTTCTTCAGCTGTGGAATTAAGAAGAATACCTCATATTGGAGAATTCCATATAAAGAACCTTGCACAGTGCCTGAAAAGTAGTATATATTTTATAAATGTATACTGTTTATATATAATACACATATTCTGGCTATTATATATAGAATAATAGTCAGAATCTGGCTATTATTTTAGAATCTTTTAGAATCTAAAATAGATTCTAAAATCTATTTTTATAATCTGGCCGTTAGTTTACTTTGCAAAAAAATATAGAAAAGATCCTTGGGAAGACAAATATTCTCAAGAGTGGTAGCGAAATGATTGTGAGTCATGGATCTTTGAAATTTTAAATTTAACCATTTCTGTCTACACAAAAGGAATAAGATAACAAGCAGTCAGATTTCCCCAAGCAGATAGTCCTAACTGTACATGTCTGAAGGCTCTTTTTAACCTTCGGTTGTACTTTTTGTATAGTTGTTATAAAATAATTTAAAAATATTGGGACACTTGGTATAAGCAGTAAGTCACTATGTTGATATGTCTGATTATTTTAAACTAATATTAATAGAACTTCTTTGTGGATTGTTTTGTAGGGCCTGGATGTCTTGGAAATTATGAGAAACATTCATATATTTGTGTCTCGATACCTCTATAATCTCAACAATCAAGTGAGTGAGTTTCAGGAAAAAATTTTTTTTATTAAAAAAATTTTGTTTAAATCTTTATTGGAGTATAATTGCTTTACAATGTTGTGTTAGTTTCTGCTATACAGCAGAGTCAATCAGCTATATGTATACATATATCCCCATATCCCCTCCCTCTTTAGCCTCCGTCCCACCCTCCCTATCCCACCCCTCTAGGTTGTCACAAAGCATTGAGGTGATCTCCCTGTGCTAGGCACCAGTTTCCCACTAGCCATCCATTTTACATTTGGTAGTGTATATATGTCAGTGCTACTCTCTCACTTTGTCCCAGCTTCCCCTTCCCCCCACCCCCATGTCCTCAAGTCCATTCTCTACGTCTGTGTCTTTATTCCTGCCCTGCCACTAGGTTCATCAGTACCATTTTTTTAGATTCCATATATGTGCGTTGGCATATGGTATTTGTTTTTCTCTTTCTGACTTACTTCACTCTGTATGACAGACTCTAGGTCCATCCACCTCATTACAAATAACCCAATTTTGTTCCTTTCTACAACTGAGTAATAGTCCATTGTATAAATGTGCCACATCTTCTTTATCTATTCATCTGTCGATGGAGATTTAGGTTGCTTCCATGTCCTGGCTATTGTAAATAGTGCTGCAGTGAGCATTGTGGTACATGACTCTTTTTGAATTATGGTTTTCTCAGGGTATATGCCCAGTACTGGGATTGCTGGGTCATATGGTAGTTCTAGTTCTAATTTTTTAAGGAACCTTCATACTGTTCTCCATAGTGGCTGTATCAATTTACATTCCCACCAACAGTGCAGGAGAGTTCCCTCCCTTTTCTCCACACCCTCTCCAGCATTTTTTGTTTGTAGATTTTTTGATGATGGCCATTCTGACCGGTGTGAGGTGATACCTCACTGTTGTTTTGATTAGCATTTCTCTAATGATTAGTGATGTTGAGCATTCTTTCACGTGTGTGTTGGCAATCTGTATGTCTTCTTTAGAGAAATGTCTGTTTAGGTCTTCCACCCATTTTTCCATTGGGTTGTGTTTTTTTGATATTGAGCTGCATGAGCTGCTTGTATATTTTGGAGATTAATCCTTTGTCAGTTGCTTTGTTTGCAAATATTTTCTCCCATTCTGCGGGTTGTCTTTTTGTCTTGTTTATGGTTTCGTTTGTGGTGCAAAAGCTTTTAAGTTTCATTAGGTCCCATTTGTTTATTTTTGGTTTTGTTTCCATTACTCTAGGAGGTGGGTCAAAAAGGATCTTGCTGTGATTTATGTCATAGAGTGTTTTCCTCTACGAGTTTTATAGTGTGTGGCCTTACATTTAGGTCTTTAATCCATTTTAAGTTTATTTTTGTGTATGGTGTTAGGAAGTGTTCTAGTTTCGTTCTTTTACATGTAGCTGCACCACTTATTGAAGAGGCTGTCTTTTCTCCATTGTGTATTCTTGCCTCCTTTGTCAAGGATAAGATGACCATAATGTGCGTGCAAGAAAAATTTTTTTAATGTAGAAAGGCTGAGGGGCAAAGAATTGATTCTCAATAGTGCAAGTTAGTAAAATAAAGAAGACAAAAAATAATTGTTTAGAGATCTTGTTTATTCCTTTGCTTTGACTGTATTATCATTTTGAATGACTTTTCAATTATCTTTAATAAAATAAAATTGTAAAATTCTTGGGTTAACTGGCCAGTGTTTGCTATTGATTGTGTTTGTTTTATTACAGATTTTTATTGAACGAACAAGCAATAACAAACATTTGAACACTATTAACATTCGGCATATTGCTAATTCAATTCGAACACATGGCACAGGAATCATGAATACAACAGTAAGAACCTTCTGGGAGGGGGGTTGTGTGGGTAATAGACCCCTGTTGAATTTGGTAGTTTGAAAAGTAGTTTTTTTCATCAAATATTCTGGTAAATATACATTATTCCTTGTTTATATTATACCTTAATCTCCATTTTTCTGTTTGGTATAATTAAAATGTCTGTCACTGAAATTGTGTTAGATGTCATGGAAGCTTTGTAATTCAAAAGTCACCTTAGGGACTTCCCTGGCGGGCCAGTGGCTAAGACTTCTCCTTCCAATGCAGGTGGTGTGAGTTTGATCCCTGGTCGGGGAGCTAAGATGCCACATGCCTCACGGCCAAAAAATCCAAAACATAAAACAGAAGCAGTATTGTAACAAATTCAATAAAGACTTTAAAAATGGTCCACATCAAAAAAAATCTTAAAAACAAAAAAAGGCACTTTAGAATGTTTTACCATCTTAAGATCATCATTATAAATAACATTGGAGATTTGAGGACATCAGTATAAGTATATATCTGGGTGGATTGTTTGATATTTTCTGTAAGTTGCTTCTGAAAGCAAATCATTGATAGTTTATTTAACATCAGTCATGCTCTTTTTTTGGGAGGGCGTTTACTAGTTATTTGATATCTATAAAAATAGTAATTTGCTGAAAAAATATCTTGAATCTTCTTAGAAATGGGCATTCAGTCACTTGCAAGAATCATTTGAGCTTATATGCTATGTTTCCTTCAGTGGAAAAAGAGAAGTCTTTAAATTTACCTGGTTTTCAGGCCACAGTTTCTCCTTGAGGAAAGAAGAATGCAAATGTTTAAATAGTAAAGTGTTATTAAGCGTATTTGGGAGTAAGGGAATAGGGAGAAGTTACATGACTGGAAAGTTACATAGGGACCATTTTAGTGTAGTGGGGAAGCCATTGAAGTCTTTGAGCTGATAAGTAATGTTAGTGGTTATCAATAGAGGAAGGGGCCATAGGTAGTCAGAGTTTCAAATTTAAAACAAGGAGTTATCCATGTAGAGATGTCTGAGCCTTTCAGGATGAATAAACTCTGAACCTTTAAGGATCAAACTCTTCTTTGACCTCATCTGTCAAACACTCATTCATGTAACAGATACAATTATGCTTATATTTTATGTGTCTCAGGCACTGTGCTGGGCACTGGGATAAGAAAAACAAGACATTTCCTGCTGTCATAGTAATTGTACTCTAGCAGGAAAAACAGTTGTTAATCAGTTAACCACACTAATGAATGTAAATTCCTGATGTCTGGTGATGATGAGGTGAGCATAGAAGAAATAAGATCAGAGGCTGGCAGAGTTACCCACTCTTAAGAATGGAAAGGATATGGGCTTCCCTGGTGGTGCAGTGCTTAAGAATCTGCCTGCCAGTGCAGGAGACACGGGTTCGAGCCCTGGTCTAGGAAGATCCCACATGCCGCAGAGCAACTAAGCCCGTGCACCACAACTAGTGAAGCCCACGCGCTATAGAGCCCGTGCTCTGCAACAAGAGAAGCCACCACAATGAGAAGCCTGCGCACCACAACGAAGCATAGCTCCCATTCACCGCAACTAGAGAGAGCCCGTGCAGCAACAAAGACCCAACGCAGCCATGAATGAATGAATAAATAAGTGTATGGAAAAAAAGGAATGGAAAGGGTAAAGAAGAGACTACTTTTAAGACTACTACTGCTGAGGATATCAAGAAAAAGCAATGTTTAAGCCACAGGAAAAGTTCTGAGAAAGCATGCATTTATATAACTGGGTGATGAAGACTGTTAAAAAGGGCATACATGTGCAAAAATAATTAGTAATATTTGAGGGTGGTGGGGATGGAAATTAGTACAAGGCTTTCATCTATAGGTCAGAATTAATCTTGTTATTTTGACTTTAATCTCAGCTCCAATCCTACTTTTTCAGTGTTTTCTGAGTCTAGGTCAGGGCCTTTTAACCCATTCTCAGAACACCTATACTTCTCATTTTAGAAATTATTGCAGTTGAGATATAATAGTTTATTTAACATATACTTGTCTTAAAATGCCTGTCCTACTAGAATATACACTTCATGATGATGACCGTGTCTAGCATGAGAGCAGGCACATTGCCTTGTACATAAGAGGTGCTCAAAATATTTATGGATAAATAATAGAATGTTTACTCTCTTCCTTCAGGAAAGGTCAAAGAGCACCATGTTTCTTACTTTAGTATTGTTTTAGACATGTAGATTAGTAATAAGTAATCTTATGAATGGTGGAACATAGAAGCTTCTGAGTGTGGTTTATGACTTGAAAACTAGAGCATCAAATCTGGTTTATGATTCTCACTATAGCTCTTAGTCTTATTATGAAAGTATTTTCCATTTTTTTAATTTCTTTTTTCCTTTTGTGTCATAAAAATATTTAAGGGGAGCTTTTAGAAAGCTCTGTAAACTTGGGCAAAAACAACTTCATTTATTTAAAAAATTCAGGTCCAACATGAATTAGACTTTATAAATAGATTATTTTATTCAGTAATATTGATTTGAAATTAATTTTCATAACGTTCTCCAATGTTTGAAATTTTAATTTTATAGGTTAATTTCACCTACCAGTTTTTGAAAAAGAAGTTCTATATATTTAGCCAATTTATGTATGATGAACATATCAAATCCAGATTGATTAAAGATATTCGGTTTTTCAGGGAAATCAAGGACCAAAATGATCATAAGGTATTTTTACATATTCTTTTTAAGGTAGTTTGATTCAACTGTTGAGTATATAAGCATACCTTAATTACTGTGCTCTGCTTTATTGTGCTTCTCAGATACTGCCTTTCTTACAAATTGGTTTGTGGCAAACCTGTGTTTTCAGATGATGGTTAGCATTTTTTAGTAATAAAGTATTTTTAAATTAAGGCATGTACTTTTTTTTTTTACACATAATGGTATCGCACACTTAATAGACTGCAGTGCAATGTAAACATAACTTTTATATGCACTGGGAAACCAAAAAATTCATGTTACTTTATTGCGATATTTGCTTCATTGTGGTGGTCTTGAACCAAACCTGCAGTATCTCCAAGGTTTGCCTGTATGGCAAATGGTTATGCTAAAATTCATTATGGGGTTTTTTTTCTTTTGGGTTTTTTTTTTCTTTATTATTTTTCACATAACGTCTCCTTGATTTGGCTTCCTATTTTCTATATTTTCCCTTGCAATTTCTTACTCTTTGCATTCACTGTAAACAAAAGTGTAAGGAAAAATTAAATGATCAATGTAGTCAGGTCTTACCTTTCTTTATTTTAAAATAATACACAAGCAGAACATACTCATTTTGAAACATTTAGGCAATATAGAGTGCATAAACTAAATATCCTCCTTCGTTTCTCTTTCCTTCCAGTTTCATTTTCTGGAGGCAGTTGCTATTAACAGTGTTATGTTGCCCTCCAGATGTCTGTGCGATAAACATGTATTTGTGCATTACAAATACTGCTTTTTTTTCTTAACAAAAGTGGACTAAAACTAAACATACTGTTTTGCAGTGTGCTTATCACATGTCAGTACTTATAGAGTTGATAGTAAAGAGTTACTATAGTATAGTATAGATAGTATACAGTAAAGATGTATACTGTAACTCCTTTAACCTTCTCCTACTGAGTGGATATTTAGTTTTTTCTGATTTTTCTGTGTTACAAATGGTGCTACACATAACATCTTTGAACATTTATCTGTGTGTTCAAATATTTTTGAAAGACAGATTCCTTGAAGAGGAAAAGGGCAAAGAACTTGAGTATTTAAAATTCTGATACATATTGCCAAGTACTCTAAAAATACTGTACCAACTGACAGTCCCATCTATAATTTATAAGAATGTCATTTTCCCTTCACCCTCAGGGCTAAGTTTTCCCATAGTGAAATGAATTGCAAGTGGTAACAGTACAGAGGCATATAGCCGTGTGGATGGAGAACCAACAGGCTTAGATGGATCTTAACGTTTGATGTGCCACATCCAGAACTGTCTTAAGCATCACCTAGTTCCAGCCCTTTTATACACTAGTTTAGTTCTTTTCAGTGTCAGAGCAGCAAAATATTACTTTCTGGTGAAATAATTATTAAAATGACAAATTAGAGTTATCAGTACAAAATTATATTCACTCTCCTCTTTATTGGAACAGAAGTTACTAGTGTTTAGAGAAATAAATAATAATACTGTTGTTGGATAAGTATTGTTTCCATTTTTTATTAATATAAAATGAGTAATTTTCTGAATCTTTTAATGGGCTAAGACTTGAAAAATTATAAATCCCTGATACTTCTCAGGCCGTGGAAACTTGGTCACACATTTCTGAACAAATGTTTCTAGGAGGAATTGATTTCTTTTATCTATCTGACAGAGTTGTTGGGTCTAGGGAGACAAATAATGTTGGTGGAAAACCTAAAGTTGGTGGCATTAATAATTATTCTCCTTATTTAATTTGTATTGACCTTGAATATTGGTAGTTTTTGTGCTATAAATTTTTTGTCATTAGACTTAAGTGACTTTTTTTAAGCACAATGGAAATACAAAATTAGAAAGGACAGTGGTATTGTCATGGTAGGCATTTTATGTTTTAGGGGTCTTTGTTAATAATGGTAGTCTTCAAATTATCCCTCTAGTATCCTTTTGAAAGAGCAGAAAAATTCAATCGAGGCATCAGAAAACTTGGAATAACCCCAGAGGGACAAAGCTACCTTGATCAGTTCAGGCAACTCATCAGCCAAATTGGTAAGTTATTGTAAAAGTGTTGGGAAATAAAGTACAAATCCCAAGAATCTATCTCATATATTAAGTATCTCATACGAATAAACTTCAATATGTGAGTGCCTGAGTTCAGCTTTATTCCACTAATAATTTCTTTTTCTTACCAAAAGTTTTTCAAGTATGATTAGACTGTTGGTGCATAATAATTGAGAGATTGTGGATTAATTTAAATAAATGAAATATTTATAAATAAAATAATATAAATATTTTTGTGGATAAGCTCTTCAGTTAAATTAAAAATATAATAACTAACTCATCTCAAAGGCCATACTCATGGTAAATAGTCAACTGGTAACTATTGGGTACCTACTCTGTTCAAGGCACTGTTTTAGACTTTTAAAAGTTAAGCCTAAATGCAAACGTGTAAAATGTTTATGTGAAAAGTTAATAATTTTTCTATGCTACATCATTTCATATTTATATATAATTTCTTGAGTTGTCCTTCTGCTTACAAGTAGAACTTGTCTTCTGAAATGTGTAATACTATATTTAAAAACAAGAACTGCATTTAAAAATAATCCTAGATTAAAAAAACTTTATGCTTACTAGAGCTTTTCACATGTATTATCTCTGTTAATATCTGCACAGTAACCCTTGAGATAGGCACATAGTCATGTTTTTAAAGATGAAAAAAGTGAAACTCAAGAGAGATAAGTGGCCTTGCTGGGACTTTTTTGGCTCCAAGTCCAAAGGTGTTTTGCATTCTTCACAGTTGCCGTCACCAAGCAGTTAGTAAATTCTTATTGACTATAATTTGGTAAAATTGTGCCTCCTGAGATTCATTCATTCATTTATCAAACATTTATAAAGTCTCTGTTACACCAGATATTTTTCTAGATGCTGAGAATACAAATAGCCTTTGTTCTAAGGGGCTTTAAGTTTACTAGTGGGAAGGGTGTTATAAGCATTTAGTTAGGTAGTAAAGTCAGTGAGCACTAGCTTAAGTTTTATAAATTAATTGGTTTACATATTAGGCCTTTCTATTTTGTATTAGTACAAGAACTTAGAGAATTTTACCTTAGTAAATTTTTAATTTTAAACAATAATGAAGTATTTTCAAGTAAGTACTTTTTTATTCATAGTGATATTTGATGACATATTAGATTGTAAACTTTTGGAGCAATAGTTTTTAACCCTTTCTGAGAATCTGATGAAAACTCTGGATTGATTTTTGTTTTTCCCAGAACAATGCCCATATGCACGTTCACGTACATTTTTTTTTTTTTTTTTTTTTTTTTTT